TTCCTATCTCCTTCCAATTATGGCTATAACCATGTTGCTTGTATCTTTACAATTTACATTGCTTTATTTGTTTCCTAGTATGATTTGATTGCTTATTAGTAACCTATGACTAACACTATCTTATGATTCTTGATGAATGTATTCTATTTTATTTTGCTTTATGTACCGAGAGCATATGCACCAAAGACAAATTCCTTGTGTGTCCAATCACACTTGGCCAATAAAGAATTCTATTCTATAACTGGTTCGGCAAGATGATTCAGAGTGGAGTGTAGCTTGAACTAACTGGTGCAGAAGAAAGCTGCTTGCAGCAGAAAATTAATAACAATAGCACTTAGACTTATATACCGCTTCATAATGCTTTACAGCCCTCTCTAAGCGGTTTACAGAGTCAGCATATTGTCCCCAACAACCTGGGTCTTCTAATGAGGATGAGAACTATTTTTAAGCACCAAGCTACTGGACAGGAAGAGATGAACTCTGTCAATTCTGCTGCACCAGGAAAAGCCTTTGGTGGCTTTGTAGCTTTTCTTTAATTTATCTTTGATTAGGTCAGCCACAATGCTGTGGTTCAACCCTCAATGCAACCTGCACACACCTTGTGTTTGCCTCTTTATTCCCCCCAACCTCTTCCCATCTGCAACCAAGAGAATTTCTTACTTGCCAGCTTTTGCCAGTTTCAATTGCCTATATCATATCTATTGAGATCCACATACAAATCCAGTTGCTAGTTGGGAAGATCCACATACAAATCCAGTTGGGAAGCAGAACCTGGAGGGGATGGCACAGTCTAGGCTCTTTGAGCAGTTTTTGGTTATATTTTGCCACCAATCTTTGCAAATCATTATCTTCCAAATATTGGAGATTATAATGAAATATTAAAAAGTCCTACTGAACATGGGGCAGTTTATGTGTGGGCAGGCAGCGCATGCGTTTCATTTTAATAAAACTCCAGCAAAGGCAAAGTTTGCCTTTTATATGGCTTCCATCAACAGATAATCAGTTTCCAAATCAAAGTATCACCATGTGTGGAAGGAATTGAGAGTCCTCTTCATAGACTTAAACTCTACTGTACTCTTTCATCCCCTTTGTTAAGACAGAAGGTGTGTGATAGTTTTGACACCAGAATAGCAGCTGAATTTTACATGCGCACTTCCGAATAGCAACTCAAAATAGGATTTTGGAAAGAGTTAAATCTGCATTTTATCAGAAGGAAAGCACTTCTATTTTGAAGGCATACACAGCTTAGAGTAACTCAACATCTTGACAGAATCTGAAGCAGCCTTCAGACTTCAGCTACCATGTGGTAGACATGTTAATCTCCCCATCTCCAAATTAAAAAAAAATTACAATGCCTCTGCAATGGGATTCGGGTGACAGTGGATCACAGCATATTATGGGACAGACACATCTTAATACCTCAAAATATAAGGGGCAAATTAATATTAAAGTAATTCAACTAAAACTCTGACATTCACTAGGGATGGAGCAAATCAAACTTAATGAAACAAACGTTCAAATTTTATTTGAACTGTGGTAAAATCCAATTTCAGTCCTACCATTTACCAGTAATGTTCCCTGCCAATAGTGTGGAAATTCACATGAACAATTCAGCTTGTCATTGGACACACACAACAATAATTTTCAGCTTGCTCCAGGTATAAAACCCCACATTTTCAATCTACTTCTAAACATCTAAAATACATGCCCATTTTATATGTATAATAACAAACACCTATGCACAGGTATCCATTATAAAAGCATTCTAATGTATTTAACTCCATACGTACTGCTTATTTATATGCAGAAGAAATTTTACTATTTTCAAAACCTGCTTCTTAAAGCTTTAGTTTCTGAAACCCATTCTGAATTTGCCTGTAAATGTTGTGTAAGATTATACTTTTGCTAACCAAAATCAGTGCAATATTTTGGCTATGTACTCCCAAACGGATCAGTTAAACTAATATAATATACAATATTACACACATCCATTTATATGCACACCAAGTGTCAAGCAATTAGCAAGGACTAATGAAGGAGACACTTATTTTTATGGTTTTTAATCTTGGAGGTTTAGAGGAGAAACTGTGAACAACACATCTATAAGAGATAAAGTGTCACTAGAGATTGCACTACTGATCCTTTTACATTTAACATCTGTGAACATGTAACCAAATGTTAAATATGTACAAAAATAATCCTATTATGACTGAACACATTAGCATCATCACTATTAAAACTGGGCCAAAATATTCAATTTTTAAACTTTTGAATGACAAATCTTTATTTTGCAAACAAGATAAATTAGTATGATAAAGGTATTGTGTTAGGCCAAGGATCCATTTAGCTAATATATCCCCAGCTATTAAAAATATTCTTTTTCTAAAAGGTGTTTACACGAACAAATATTAAATAAAAGCAATGGGAAGAAACAAACATATCCCTTTGGAGAGGCAGTGAAATGGCAGGTTCAATTTGCAATATCTAGAGGCTCCATTAAAATCTCACAAAATTGTCAATTATCCAATTAATATAGGAATATGAGAGTGCCTGTGCACATGGCATCTGGACATTTTCTTGCCAAAGTCAAAAATCTTGAACTGGCCCTGGATTGTCGTTTGAATGTCACCAAACTTCTGCTAATTATGTAAGAGCTGGAGGTAAATTGAAACCGGACACTCTTGATATTTGATAAACTGTGTTGATGGGTCTAAATAATCTAGTATTTATAATCAACCTTTCATAGCGTTCAGGTTTTTAACTTGGGTGAAAATTCCTTGGGCAGTAGAGATTTCAGATATTTTGCTTACTATCGAATGTGTGGGGTTCCCCCCAACCCACCATAGGAACCAAACCACAATTAAGGTTAACGTTCAATTTTAAAGTTACTTTTGAATGCCCCCAAATGAACCATGGCAGCGAGCCTACATTCAGTCTCCATGCCACATGCAGGAAGGCCTCAAAGGAATAAACCTGAATCAAAATGGTGGGGGACAGGAGAGGAATAATTGTGTCACGAGCTGCAGCTTCCACATAGGCCTCTCCTTAAGTGCTTTGCATACAGTAGATAGTTTTTGCCAGTTAATTTTCTCTTGTGTTTAAATATTATTTAATGGTTTTTAAATTAATTTTTAAATTAAACTAATTTGATAATGACTAAAAACTTCAGATGCAGATTGTTTCCTGCCCAGAAGAAGAGAAATTCTAGTCTATTCTCCAAACAAAACAAACAAGTCGCAAACAAATAATCCCCATAAAATTATATAACAACCCCCCCCCCCAAAAAAAGAAGAAAGTGGAAGAGGTTTAGAAAGCAGAGAGGGTGGGGAAGCTGGATGAAATTAAGGAGTCTTGAGAAAAGCTAAGAAAACCAAGCTATTCAGTGAAGATTCTCCTTCCCCTAAATTCCTCTGTGCTGAGGTTTTGGGCTGCAACCACTCATTTAATGAACTTCCTTGCAATATTCCCTTGTCCGGTCTAGAGGAAATGCAATGTACACCAGGCAAAACGTCCATGCAGCTTTCCTGAAGTCTTAGCTGGCTGAAGGGCTACGCAGTGCGACCAAAAGCAAAAACCCCAAAGGATCCCCCCTAACAGAATACCCTCCATGTTTTAATCATATTAGCCCAGTCTGTCTTCTAGTTCAAAGCAGGAGAGGCTTCCCTAGTATTCCCTTCAAGTATTCATAAATCCCTCATGCTGCTGACTGTGATATTTTTCTGAATGAGTCTTCATTTTCCCAGGGAATTCCATGCCTTAGCAAGAAGCTACTGAAATTACAAAAAGCCTCTCATCCAAACTCCCATGCCTCCTCTGGAACAGGAGCCATTCCATTCTGACTCTCTGACTAACACGTACTAAGAAAAGAGAAAATCATGATTCAGAGAATTCCCCTTCTCCAGATTGCCGAGAGAGAAAAAAGCAGCCGCCGCGTTACTCTGCAAACTTAAGGAAGTCCTAGGTGTGAATGTTCTGTTCAAAGGTTTGAAGCATTAAAGCAAACGGTAATAACCTCCCCTTCTTTTATTTAAGATTTTAGGACAAACTGGGACTGCCCTTCTACCCCAAAGGTGGCTGGCCATGTCAACTACTTAGTGCCAATGGTTAGGAAGCTATGAATTTTTAAAAACTCCTTTGAGCTCAAATGGAAGGGTTAGCACAGCTGGGAGACAGGGATTTCCGATGCTGCAAAAGAGACTTTTGAAGCCACAGCTTCCATTCCTCTGGAGATCCCAGGCGAGAAGCATGTGTGGCTCCTTGATCACAGTGCCAAAGTGAAAGAAAGTGCTGTTGCCCTGCTGGTGAGGGTGCCGTGGGCATCACAAAGCCCCCCCGCCCCTTGAGAGAAGTTAAGGAACTAGACTCACATTGCAGCGAGATGCTTCAGCTAAGGGGAGACACGCCTGGCAAAACCAAAGCTGCCTGGAAATTGGGTTGCAGCACTTTGGAGGGCCAAGCCGAGACAGTCAGATCTCTCTTTTCAATGACTTCACATGTATACATACAAAACAAACACATTCGACCCACCCTGGGAGCATAAAAATTTGACTGCAACTAAAAGGTAACTGAAAGAGAGCGAGAAGAGAGAGAGGTAGAACGAGAAGAGAGAGAGGTAGCCCACATGCATCACATCTGCTGGCAGAAAAATCATGCTTTAAATACATTCTAAATGGGGTTTCACCGGTAACACAAACAGGTACGCTCCAGATATACAACACAGCCACCTATTTGTCTTAATGGGGGGGGGGAGGTAAAGTTGAACAGTGCTGCACCTCCCACCCCCATTTACAAGCTCAGAGAAGTGTCATCTCCTTGATCTTGAGCTCCCTGCCAAGTCAGCCCTACCGCAGCCAGACAGCGCACAGGTGCAGCTCCAACCTGTGAGCAAGGTAGAGCTGCCTTTGGGGAGCCCGGGGTAGGGGCGACAGGGAAGCCCTGGATCTTTTCAGCCCTGGGGAGGCCAGCCACGTGTGAACCGGAGGCACAAAGAGGTGACTTACCTGCTGGAGGTAGAGGAAGGCTGGGGGGCAAGGGAGAGAGTGCGGGAGCAAGGCGGAGTTGGAGACTAGGAGGCAGCCGGAGTTAGCCATCGAGCAGAGCATGGGTCGCCAGCAAACCCAGGAGCGGCGGAGGTTGGCAGCTCCTTCTGCTTCTTCTCTTCGCAGGACTTGCTTTTTTTCCCTTCCGTTTTCGGCCGTCCCCCACCCGCTTTGGCAGCTCCCTCGCGTGGAGCGATTTAAGAGGGCTCCATGAGAAGAGCTGCCTTGTGTGTCCTCGGTTCAAACAGCGAAGGAGCAGCGTGCCGGCTGAGAGTCGGTGCCATTAGACGAAGCGGCTGAACGAGCGCATGGTCTGCAAAGGGTGGGTGTGTGCGTGTGTGTGTGCGCGTGGCCGCGTGGGGGGGGGGGAGAAAGAGAGGGTTGAGAGGCGGGGGGAGTCCCCTGTGCATTCAGATATCAAACAGCTCGCTAGGAAACCAAGAAAATCCGGAACAGCTGAGCCTGCACTTAACCCCTCACCTGCTGCAGCTCAGCTTCTTGCCCTGCGATAAATAGGCCACTAAGCAAGCTTAGCCGATACAGTTAAGGGTGGGGTACCTAGCTCAGCTTTGCTGCCGACTCGGCCATCACCCCAGAGAAAGTGACCAAGATCTTCGGAGCACTTCCAGAGATATAAATGACTCCAAAGCCTTGTTTCTTCCTTTCGACCTCTCTCTCCCAATCCCTGGGGACTGAAACCAGCAAGCCCAAGATAGGCAGTTGAAGAAAGTTAAAACTTCTGGTCAAGAGACAGGAGAAAGAAAGGCAAGTATATAGTGTGGCCGAAGGAGATTTCAAAGGGGAGGAAAAAAACCTCTTTGGCTTGTGAGTCTGGATAAAATAAAATCAAGACGACTTCACATTCTCTTTTCCTTGAAAAGAGAACCAGGATCTGTATAAGAATGTGATCTTATCAAAGGAAATAGAAAAAGGCTAAAGAGATATTTCTGTAACATAGTTCAGGGCTCTGCCTGTATCAAACTCAAACATACAGGCTCTCCTCCACCTGACACAAGTTGAATCCAGAATGCTCCTCACAGACAGCAGCTTCCATCTCACAAGGCTCCTGAGTGATGCTGTAATGCAATGTATAATGGAACCTGCCAGAACCATCTTTTTTTGATGCAAGTTCTGTTGAAAAAAGGATCCTTCACTTTTGGATCTGCAGCAAAATGCAAACCTTCAGCGTACACATTGTACAGTAATGGAAGATTCTACCCCTAGCAGCAGCCCTCCTTTTGGAGAAGTTTCCAATTATTTCCAACTTTATATCCTTCTTGCCCAACAGTTAACATTTAGCCAGATAATTAAATTCTTTGTAGAGAGAGTTCCATCATACAAACAATATTTTGTGCTCTCATTCAGCCCACTTCTCATAAATTCCACATTTAAATAGGAATTTAAATACATCTGCAATAAAAAAAATCCTCTTTGCCATTTGACAAGGCTTTTACAGACTGCCACACACCACCCCAAAGTTGCAAATAAATATCTATTTTCTTGGTACATTTTTTTTATAGTGCCTTTATAGTTGCACACCTATTACTAGTGAATTCAATTCTGAGAAATTCCTGCTGTGAAATCTTTGGTATTGATCAGCGCCTTCAACAGTAAATTTCAGAAGAGTCGTTTCAATAGAAAAAGATAGAAAAATAAATCCCGTGAAAGTTATAAGTGAGGGTATCCTTCGACCAGACACTGAGGAATCTTGCCCTTTCGAAAGCTGATAAACACAACCAGTTTTTAAAAACCCATTTGCTTAGGAACTGCAGTTATTTCAATTATGTAATAAAAAGATTCTGTCCAGGATAATGGATCCATAGCCGCCATCATGTGGCTATGTTACATCAGTATATTGGCAAATGGAACATAACCCACAGCTTGCTAATATTGACACAACAACCCACCAAATCTAAATAACATAGCTTGAGTTATAAAAATACAGTTCAACCAAACAAGGTTGTGTACCATATTCTTTTACAAATACCGAGGTTCACACACTCTGGAGGCTCCAGGAAAAGAAAACTCCACAGCAGCTAGGAAAATCACTTGTAAGGCCTGGTTATATAGCTAATAGCTTGTTTCTCAAGGACATGTTGAAGGCTTGCACCATGGAATTCCTGCAGGCTTTAGGAAAACTCGGGATGCCTCAGCATTTAACTGACCTTTGACCATCTCAGAAACTAAGCAGGACTAGTTTAGACTTGGATGGATTATTGCTTGGGAATCCCAGAGCAATAGCCTAGTCTGAGAAGAAGAAAAAATAATCCCAGAAGAAGCCAATAGCAAATTACTACTGTAATGCTGCCAGAAACCTCTGCATGGATGCAGTCACCAGGAGTAAACTCAACTTAAGGGAGCATGAAAAATGATCCATTATTTTAGACACGCCCGTAAAGGCCACTTGGGGCTTCAGCTTAAGGCCGCTTCTCTGCAGGGCCCAGTTTAAATCTTCCGGCCAGCTGCAAAGCCACCTGTATCCAGCTTCCTTGTGCAGCATAAATGTGAATCCAGTATTCAGTTCAGCCAGAACGTGGGGAACGCGGCAATTGGGCTGCCTTCCAAGGCTCCAGGCAGAATCCTCCCTGCCAGGCAGAGATGCTTCTAAGTGAGTTTTATTAGGTGATTCTTCCTGCTGCAGCAGCCATCTGAAAAATGCAGAGTATAAAATTGGGGACTTAAATTATTTCCAGATCTGATTCACATGCAGATGCACAATCCATACTTTGACTGAAGAAGGATGGCTTTGTTTCTTCTTTTCGCTGAACCATAGAGTCCTGAGAAAACACGATCCTTTCCTTTGAGGGCTCAGTCTGAGCCCTAGAGATACTGGCAAAAATACATTGGGTGGCTTTTGAACAAACTGGGTGTAGAGACTTACAGATTTAATGAAGCAATAGAAGCTGCTGTGAGCTTTGGCATTTTCCCAACCGTGAGGACAATTAACCAGTGGATCAGTTTGCCTTCAGAAGTTGCGGGTGCTCCATCCCTGGAGGATTTCAAGAAGAGACTGGACAGTTACCTGTCTGAAATGGTATACAGGATCTTCTGCTTTAGCAGGGGGCTGGACTAGAAGACCTCCAAGAAGACCTTCCAGCTCTATTCTGATTCCCAGGAAATGATGCAAAATAGCAGCTATTCAGGAGAGAGGCCCGAGGCTCCTGAGCAGCATCCATGATCAGGGAATAGAAGACAATTGGAGATTTATGGATGTTGACTGGGTCTCTTGGTGAAAAGGATCTATGGCAAGAGCAATAGCAGGAAAAAGGAGTGTCAAGGTTTACCCATTTTGAGAACAGAGGGGGATCAAAAAAATGCTTCTTTAACGGGGTTGGCTGGTTAGGTCACATGTCTCCTATTGTTCCCCCCACCCCCATACAATTAACCCCAACAGCAAAACAGGGACTCTTCTCTGCCATGTTCCTCAGGGGGACCTGATCTTATTTTTAATCAACATCCCATGCAAACTAATCAGCTAGAAACAAATTCTGAATGAGATGCCTCAAAGGATGCAGTAATATATTAGAAAGAAATCTATTGGGTTTCCCAAGAAGAGGCAACATGTTTACTAATGGCTCGGTAACATCTTTGTGTACACACACACACACTGAATAGGAGGCAGAAGTTATGAAAAGATACTGCTATGTGTAGTATTTTTTTTTATCTTTATTTTTTAATATAAGAAGATTAAATAAAAACCAACACCCCACACAGTACCAGAATAGAAAAGACAGCCTACAGAAAAAGCGCAATATTAAAAACGATTAATAAACCACATGAAAATTAAACGTGAAACCGTCAATAAATAAATGAAAAAAGGGCCCTTCCCCAAACTTTATTAAGATTGTAACAAAACCTAACAAATCACAATACTATACATCTAAAATATAGGCTAAATGTATAAATGTCATGGGTTTAGAAAGGATATCTTGTAATACAATACTATAATCAAATACAGAAATATATACAACTACCTAGAAATATCACTGTATTATTGTAAAATTTCATGAAATCTATTCCAGAGCAGAACATATTGCTTCATTTTCTGATTAGTTGAAAATATTGCTTTTTCCAGAATGGATAAATTACACCAAGAGCCAATCCTTAATGCCTAGAAAAATACCATTTCCCTCGTTCCTCAATATAATTCTTTTTGCCACTTCTCATGCCCAGTACAACTATAATTCCTCAAACATAGTCATATTCTGGAGTATGGAGTTATAATTCAGCATCCTATTAACTTCTTTAATGTTAAGATTTCCCCATAAATCTACTTATGGACATTGACATACTATTCCAAAAGAATACCGATAGTTCACAGAACCGAGTCATAAGGGTCAATGATAAAGGGAAAATAAATAAAGTCTCTTTCAAGTCAACCTTGACTTCTAGCAGCTTCTTGGATATCATCATATAGTCTTCGCAACCATACAAAACTGGTAACAATTGCCTCTTTCTGCTATGGTTTCTTGACTATCAGATCCAGTCTATGCTCTGAGAATCCATAATAGTCTTTCAAACAAGCACTAAACTTTACCTAACTACAACTAGTTTTTCAGACCAGACAAGATTGGCCATGTAGTGCCAACAGATGATGCTGTACAGAGGTTAGATTGAAATCAGTAAAAATATTTTGAATAATTTTCAGTCAGAGTGGGACATTTCAGAATGAATTTCCCTCCATATTTGACATAATAAATGTTGCCTTGCCTTGATAGTTAACCACAATTTGTTCTCAACACAATTCTACATTTTACCACTAGTTAGTAGGAAGGGAGAGGGTTTTCTTAAATTGCTCATAGCTAAGGGGAGGGAGTTTCAATGCACATAGACCAGTGGTGGGATTCAAATAATTTAACAACCGGTTCTCTGCCCTAATGACCAGCAGGGTAGATGGGGCTTGGTAGTCATATGACTGTGTGGCCGTGGCCAACTCAACATCACTCACCTTGATGGGTGCTTCACCTTAACGTTACAATGTAATAAGGGTTAACCAGAGAGGCAGTTTCTGTAAGCAGGGCAATAAAGATTAGGCTAGAAACAACACCAGAATGTTTCCTTCCTACCTTCCTTATAGGATTAGCCCTGTAAAGTGGAAAAAAACAAAATGAGATTTCTTCCAACAACCGGTTCTCCGAACTTCTTAGAAAGTTGCCAACCGGTTCTCTCGAATAGGTGCAGACTGGCTGAATCCCACCACTGACATAGACTCATAGATTTGGAAGGACCTTGAAGTTCTTCTTCTGCAATCTGCACAAATCAGGAATTCCCAAATCATCCCAGACAAATGGCTGTCCAACCTTTGG